ATATATATATATAGTTGCCATTTCAAGTCCAATATACAAGCTTAATAATTTGAGTAACAATTCGGTTAAGGGTGATTAAAAAAAAAATTGCCATTTAAAGCTGACCCATGCCATGGATTTAAAAAAGTGATGTACTACACAGACAACCCTTTTTCATATTTTGCTCAAAATAATTAAACCTCAAGTGAATAAGCCAAAACCAACAATTGCTAAATTAATTAACAAACAAACCTTGATAATGAAAAGGAAAAAGCCTTTTAAGAAAATGCACTATACAAACTAAATTCAATTTATACTGCCTCACAAAATTCACTAACCTTTGGCAGTTTATACATTGTTGCAAATGAAAAGATTATTTTAAATGATCATTGTGATAGACAATAAAATACTATTATTTACAAGAGAGAAAAAAAGTCTTACAAAATTATCCACAACATTGGCCAGTGAACACATATAATATACGACCGTGCACAGATGTATTTGGTGTTTGTATTGTATGTACAGATGTGCTAAATAAATCAAATTGATAAACATGACTTAACACACTTTTTTAAAATGAAGTTAAGTAGAAAAGAACTTCCATTTAAGATCCACTTCAGATGTTGAGAATTTATTTTGCAGTACTGTTGTAAAAGCTGATAGCCATGATTGAAACATACACCAAGCTGCCATGAATGCATGCCCAAATTAATCTGCAGATAATTCAAAATCAAGCAGAACAGTTTGTACAAGTTGCTGACAAATTTTGACTTTCCCCATTTGTCATAACCAAATACAACATGTTATGTGATTGTGAGGTAAATAGTCACTCGAATTTGCATCAAAGGGATCATTGACACCAATTAAAATTATAATAATTTCAAGAAAGTTTTAATTCAAAATCATCCCATTTACAAGCTGCTGTTGATGCAACTTTGACATTGTCATGCCTCAACTGCACTTTTGTCATGTCAATTGATATAAAAATTGTGTGGCAAGTATGTTGTCACCTTTGATATTACTTTATACAGCATCACAATAATTATGCGCAACAGTCACAACTGCTTGACATTAGTTACTTACTGAAATGGTGCTGAATGACTTGTTTATTTACAATACATAAAACAACATGGCATTTTATACAATTATATTTTAAAATGTATTATTAGAAATTAAAATAAACGGTTCCAGCCTAAAACAATTAACTATTCATGTGTTTTAGGCAACTATTTACAAGCGTTTTGGTGGTGGAAAAGCCATCACCCAATAATTGACCCATAATTTCCAAGGTATTGGGGTGAGATGGTGGCATTTAATCCCTCCTTGAGTGAATCCTTTTCAATTGGTCAATGGTCCTCATTGGAAGTTTGCAGACCCCCCAAAAGTAGTCACTGGACCCTGATAAATAGACAAAAAAATTATTATAGACGGACTGTAACAATATACATTCTGGTAATAAGAGTTTCTACACAAACTTACTGTATTGTTTACTAGTCATAAGCAAATATTCAATGCAGCCAAGTACTAAAACCACATTCAAAATCTGTAAGATTGACATTTGAGTTTTTTTTATTTTTTTTATTTTTTTTATCTAAACAGGTTATGCAGCTTAATACAGTAAAGGGTCTGTATGAAAAACATTATTAAAACAAATTAATAAACCAAGGTGATTGCAGTAAAACTAATTATTATTATAATTATTATTATTATTATTTTTAATAAACAAATTTACAAAATGTACATGGCCTAAAGTGTAAACTGTGATATGAAAGTCTGTATTACAAAACTTATTTGGGCTGCATCATAGTTATGAGCAGAGCTTCTGTAGCAAGGCCATGTCTAGGGGGCCATTGTCTATAATTCACTTCTGCCGAGATCAGAGAACTTGAAAAACACAGTGAGATTCAGTATGGAAATCTCTCCATCCAAAATTCCTTAAACCTCAATGGACATAAGCTGAGATTTACAGCAGTTATCTGGGCAAATTATGTTGCAAAAAGCATAGAAAACAAAGGCTACAATTTTCATTTTGTCTCTTTTAAAGCATAGACGCAAAAAAATGGCACAACTAAAAAATGAGAAAAAGAAATGAAATACAAATAGTTTGTTACTGTACTTAAGTAGATTTGTTAGGTATCTGTACTTAATTATTTTGACAAATTTTTACTTTTACGCTTTACATTTTTACAAATACCTGTACTTTCTACTCATTACACATGTAAAACAGGTTTGTTACTTTTGTCTTGATGTGTTTTGTGACATGATTCATGTTACTTGTCATTACCCAATTTGAGCCCCTTGCTGATTCATCAATTTATCTTTTTGGTATAGCATACATGCGTGCCGTGCCTGCTTTCCTAACCTATGATCACGTACTGTATGCATGAAGTTTAGCATGAGAAATTCAAGGATGGCTAAGAAAGATGGAGACGGTGACAGAAATATGACTGAAGCCAATTACACCGGATCCATTTAGGTCAATCAGATCATAGGTAAATGAAGCACATTACCAGTTAAACCTGGCTTTTAAATGCTTGAGAAATTGTCCTTTTTCAGCTACTGTGTATGTACTGTACATGCTTTCTCTGATCTTTTAATCTAAAACTACAAAATAAATGTGCAATTTTCTGAACAAAAAATATAATTTATTTCCTTGATTTCTGATTAATTCCCACTTTCTAAATTTACACTCTTACAGTTTTAGCATTATACATATATACACTGTTGATTTTAAAAGTTTAAATATTTTAGAACATCGAAATTACTGTACGTGTATTTTTACGCATGCGATTATAATTCAAAGGATCAAGAATTTATCACACGGTAAAAAAGATAATTTAAAAAGTTTTAAAGGTTGTAATCGCACCTGTGCAGGATTGGGTATCATCTTAATTTTAGCGAAACGGGTTCTTATCAGTTCTGTATTCTGATTCCAATATTTTTTAGGGCATGGAAAAAAGGGAATACATAATTTTTTCATCTTTTATTCTAGCCACATTTATGCTACAGTAGAAACAGTAGGATGTAACTGTTAAAGGGAAACCTACACCATTGTATGCTGCTTTTTGCATTGAATAGATATAATAAATGTAAAATATCCACAGTACTCTGAAAAAACAAACACTTAAATCAAGGGAACTGCTAAAATCTGCTGCTGTTTGATTATGTTGCCTAGAATTCTGTCTTCACTGTTTGTCCTTTGGGTCAAAATTGGGTTGGCTTCATTAAACTTCGAAAAATAAACCAGGAAATTTATATTTAAGTCTTCAAATCTATTTAATCACAAAGAAACAACCATATCTTCATCACAAACTGAATGTTCATGTTTTCCCTCATCAGTGTGTAGCATTTCATCAGTGTTTACTCAGTGGTCAACACTCTTTTTTTGACTACAGTAAAGGGTGCATTTTTAATGCTAAAATGTACCTGAATAAGTGTGGAAGCTTTTTTAGCAAGACAGTATTCATAAATGTTGAAGCAGGATATTTGGTAACACTACACCATGAATCATTTATTAAACATGAGTTTAATGAATTTACTTTAAGCATGAACTCTACATTAATAACTGTTAGTATCAATTAATAAATAGTTACAAATGCTGTATTCTTGACTTAAGCCCCTTTCAGATTACACGATTTAGGCACGATTTTCTTGACGTAGGGTGTCGCAGGGAATCGGAAACGACAAATGGGCGTCGTGACAAGATTCAATCGTTTCTTCTCGTGAAATGTGGCATAGTTCAACCGATACCATGTCTGCGACCCTTCACGACATCGTCGCAGCAAGTCTAGCATGTTTAATTTTCCCCCATCTTCACGACGAGTTCAGTCACGTGGATGACAACACTGTGCAAATTTGGAGCTCATAATTTCTTGGTTATATCAGTGGGTGCTGCTGTTAATGCGCTGGTCAGGTAATCAAAAAATAGGCTGCATGCATATTTACAGCTTGCTTATGGGTGGGACACGGCTGGATAAGATCAATTATTGGTTGAACAAACTTCTAAAATATTAAGGTGTTTATAGCGGAAAGTGTTTATAGCGGACTTGTTTGGAAGCGCATGAACTCAAATGTTATTCATTATTCTTGTTTATTAATAACTGAACAAAGAATCATAAAAATTAAGTAAAAAAATATAGCAAACTAAATTAGTTTCAAAAATACATTTTTTCCAAGAAAAATATACAAATTACATTTTTGTTGTATCTCCACTACTCTACTATACAGATGGATGATTTATTTTGCTCAGAGGAAAGGATTTAAGGATTGCTTTAGTGTAATTGTATCACAAATCTCACTTATATATTTGCAAATTTTTAAAAATTTAATTATTTTAAAGATTGTGTACGAGTATATGATTTTTCTTTGCTGATTATGTGCTTTCAATAATCAATCTCTCTCGCGGCAAGTTCAGGCGAGGGATTGTTTATTAATAAACCCATGGCAGGAAAATATACATTTATGGTTTAAAGAAAATAGCTTAATATTAAAAAGCATGTAGCATAGCCAGAAAAGAGAATCTTTGTGTGCATCATAAAAACTGGGAAAGCCTTGTATTGTCAAAATAACGTGCAAAAAAAAAAAAAAAAAAAACTGACTCTGCGTAACATTACAGAACAGACTGCAACTTTAGTGATCCCTGGTTTAGGGTATTTGTTTTCTGCTGTTAAAATGTTGGCGTTATTTGACCCATAAGTCAATAGGAGGGTAAATGCAAAAAAAAGAAGAAAAAAATAGTGAAATTTAAGGCAAAAGAAAAAAATGTTTCAGACTAAATTAAGTGTTAAATTTAAGAGTGTAAGAACATGACTGGCACCTGATGGTTGTGAGTTTGTGCCAAGACAATGGAGCAACATTTTAAGTGCTATTGGGATTGCAGAGCTTTAGTATTTGGCTACTTTCCTGCTGAAAATAGGCATTATCAGGTAAAAAAATTTTAAAAATGTAATGCAAGTTTTTTTTGTTGTTTTTTTTGTATAAATGTATATATGATGTGCAATATATTTACAAGCATGAAACTAAAACAGGTTATTAGAATCTTTTAACTTGTGTACATGTTTGAGGCCATCCTTCTTTACTTTTTTTTTTTTTTTTTACTTTTTATACTTTACAAAAGTATAATCAATACTTCAAATTTTACCTGACATTTTTAACAGGAGAACTTGTACTTAAGTATGCATGTACTTTTGTTATCTCTGATATTTACTATGAACATACTATATGGAGACATATAAAATTTTTGGTTCAGAGTTCTTACATTTGATTCAACAACAAAAAAGCACAGTTTTTTTAATTTTTTACAGATATGTTTAGTCTTGATTTAGTCTATATTTATTTTAATTATTTCCAAATGTTACACACACACACACACACACACACACACACACACACACACACACACACACACAATCTTTAATATAAGCCCAAAAAAAATAAATTGATTATTTCATCCAACTCTGCAGCTCTAGTTCAAGAAATTTTCATACTGTAACATTTTAAGCCTTATATTGCACATTGAATATGACATTATGTAGCGAGTTATCACGTGATACTAAATCACACACACACAAAAAAAAGTACCTGATGTCTGTGAAAGAGACTGGTTTTCGAAGAGCGTCTGGATGAAGGGACCACAGCTCAACATCAGAACAGAATTCTGCATGAGACAGGTAAGGATATATTTTTATGTTAATATACGCTAATTCAAAAAATTAAAATCAACTCTCTAGTACATGACCGTTCATTAATTAATGTTTCCATGAATTAAATGTAGGAATTTAGTACTTTTTATGCATTCACAACATTACCAATGATAGGGGAAACATACTTAAGAAACTTAATCAAAAACACCTGAAAAAAATAATAATACAATCAACAAATAATATTTTTCCTGATATCGGAAATTTGCACCCCTAAAATTATTCAAATTATTTGGATATTAAAGATAAACAAATCACATAAAACAATAACCTTTTATATTACACACAAATAAATAATTAATACTGCTTTTGAAGAATGTCCACTTAACATTACGAGAAAAAAACCTGAACATTTATTTGGTAAATGTAATAGTTTTGTACTCACTGTAGCACGTTTCAAGGGTCATTGTAATAATGACATTCTAATATTATGTACAGTGAGTGATGACTTTTCACACTACCAAAAATGTGACAGAACAGCTGAAGAGTTAACAGTAGTAAAGAAATACGTAGAGAATGTGGTGTATGGCATGTAGTTTTTTTATGGACAGATTATTCATTAGTGAAAAACTAGGCCATAATAATAATAATAATAATAATAATAATAATAATAATAATAATGTTGAAAACAGGAATAATACAAAACAACAAAAACATTAGGGTTTCAGCGCTTCACACTTGAACCACTAATAATAATATTAATAATAGGATTAAATAAAAATACATATATTTAACAAATTAATTAATTTCTAACAATTTAGACATTTATATTATACAGGACATTTCTGTTACCCTGCTCAAGTCTGGGTGAGGGTGACACGTAGTGAGGCGATTACGTCACATCACCAACGGCAGTTAGCAAACAGATGACAGAGAGCATCCTCAACGTTTATTTATTTTTATTTTTTTTACAATAGTTGGCTTTTTAGCTTAAGAATATTCTGTAAATACATTAATTTGTACATACAATCCTGTTCGATCTTGTTCATTCGTGGTTATTCGTTTGTTTACATATTTACGTTTTTTTCCATTGTTTATTCGGTTAAGCTTAAGGTTCATTTGTCGGTTGTTGGTAAGTATTAGTTTTATTAACGTTAAATGTCAGCCTTCCGACACAAGATTACTTATGTGCCATCTATTCAAGGATTTTTTTGTACCGTAAAACCATGATTATTAGCGCATTTATTAAAAAGTACTTAACGTTACCTGAAAAGCTTAAAATGCGTATCTATTAAAAAAACAGAAAAACTATGATTACGATGGCATAACTACATCAACCATTTTTATTAAATATGTATTTACTTGTTTATCTATAGTAAACCATGGTAAATAATCGAAATGACGTGGCCCAACTGCAGGCCGGAGCGGGAAAATACTGATTTGTTTGGTCCAACAGCGATGAGAAAAGTAACGCGTGAACGCTGTTGAATGCTTAAGGACGAAACTACGGTCTTTATTAACATGCCATGATTACAGACTCGCTCGAAGGAGTAGGGTCCTGCAAAGTTTGCACAACTTTCAAAAGCAAGCTTATAAATGTTAGTTTTGACAAGTCATTTCAACATATTAAAATATTTTTGTTAGTGGAAAAACTAGTGATCAGCGCCAAATACAGATGAAAACGGCTTATAATATAAGCGTGATCAGCATTTACCATTTTCCCATTCAACAATTTTTACGAACACTGCGTTTACCTATAAAATATATAATTTTCTCCGCAATACCGCATTCCCTGCTTTAACATTACCTCACGTTAGGACCGCACACATTTACTATGTAGGATAAATATGCCATGAAACAAAAAGTAAATTACTTTACCTGTAAAAAGCCGTGGCGTGAAGCTCGTGGAAGTGGTTAATCTTCTTCTTAACATTGGCGTTTGGCATACAGATTTATAGAAAGGCGTATTACTGCCACCTGTTGATAAGGATATGCTTTAAAGTCATGATCATAAACTACTCTCGAGCCATTTAAGTTCTATTATATAAAACAGTGTCAACGATTTAAATATCAAATTAAATCCAAATTAAATTAAATATATTATCCTGTAGCCATTCGCCTAAAACATTAAACAAATAAATCTCCTGGGAACTTTCCTCAAGATCAGCGAACAGTAACAAATCTTTGAATATAGAACAATCTTCCTGTTTTAAAAGAAAAAAAAACTCATTCCATGACTTATATTAAGAATAACATTAGTAACAATTGTTAGGAGATTTTTTTTATCTGCATAGTTTAGAATACATAACCCTCCCTAGACCTCTGGTTTCAAACCCCACAACTCAACCCATATCTTAGTAAAAAATAATAAAAATAAATAAATAAATAAATAGGTTGATCTTAACTTCCTTCAAATTTTGTTATGATAACAATTTGTCTCCTGCAGTAAAGGGTTCACCAAGAAATGAAAATTAACTCAGTATTTACTCTCCCTCAAATTTCAAGTTTACATCTTTTTGTTGGACACAGAAAAAGTTATTTTGAAAAAAGCTGAAAACCTGTAACCATAGATTTCTATGGCAGGAAAACAAATACAAACGAAGGCAATGGTTACAATTTTCCAGCTTTCTTCAAACTATCGTTTTTTGTAATCAACCTAAGAAATAACATCATACAGGTTAAAAAAAGTGAATGGTGAGTAAATGGTAATAAAATTGTAATTTCTAGCATAACTGTAACTTTAAATTTTGGGCAAGATAAAAAACAAAAAAAACTTTTAATTTTAAAGAATAGCAGAATATAGGCATTCTTAAGGAGTTTAGTTCTTATTTAAACAAATTTTACTCCATAAAAGTGATTACACATTTATTTAGCTTTGTTATATTATTTCTAGGCATTATAAGAACGACGAAACTGACCTTACCAATTTATCTCTTTTCTAATTACAGAGTTTTCCTGACAACTACATCAAAAGCTCACACACTCAATAATAAGGTATGTGTAATTTGTCTTTAAGAAAGTAGTTCCAAATTCCAATCTTGGGGATCCATAACATTGCATATTCTGGTTGTCTATCATCTATTAATCTCCATTTAATTTAACAAGCTTAAATTTTATAATGAGTTCAATTACATGTAAAAGCTATATCCAGAGTATGTGATGTAAGGATCTACAAATACTGCATTTGAAAAGCACTGTATGTAGTTGGCTTTGCACGTTAGGGCAATGCATTTTTTTGTGTGTTAATATCTCAGAGCCATGGATTGCAAAAAACAGTCTTACTGGACACTGCGAAGAAAAGCCAAAGCCAAGGTGGACAAACAGCTTCAATCAATGGATATGTTATCAGCATCACCGTTGAGGGATGAGTATGATGGCACAGATACAAGCAGCACTGTTGAAGATGATACTGACTTCATGGACTGTTTGTCTTATGTCGATGCACCTGAATGCAGCAACACCATGGCAAGTGCATCATTCATTAGTCTATCTGACTCAGAGTCGGACTCTGATGCAGATACTGAATTGCATTCAAGTTCTCTTAACGACGACTTGGCAAGTTGGGCAACAGAAAACAAAATAACACATGTGGCACTAAATTCCTTACTCAGCATCCTTCGAAATCATAATCTGAGTCTTCCTAAAGATGCAAGGACGTTATTAGGAACAGTGCGTTCAAAAAAAGAAATGCAAAATAAAGCTGGTGGCCAGTACTACCATTTTGGTTTACTGGAATCCATTTCAGGGGTCCTCTATGACAACAAGGACATTTTGAGGAACACAACAGATTTGAAGCTCCAGGTGAGCATTGATGGTCTTCCTTTATACAAAAGTTCATCAACTCAATTCTGGCCCATTCTTGGCAAAGTACAAAACTTGGTGCAGGAGGAGCCTGTAACAATAGGGTTATTTTGTGGTGACAGCAAACCAAGCTCCCTGGACGAATACCTCAAAGACTTTATCTCTGAAATCAAAGAGTTAGGAAATGGATTTGAATTTGAAGGACTGAAGTTAACAGTCAAGCTTACCTCTATGATCTGTGATGCACCTGCACGTGCATTTCTGAAAAAAGTGAAAGGCCATGCAGGTTACCATGGATGTGAAAAGTGCATACAGGATGGTGTGTACCTGGAGAACAGGATGACATTTCCTAGAACTGACATGCCTCTAAGAAATGATGAGAGCTTTAGAAATAAGACTGACATAGACCACCACCATGGCACCTCACCTCTGGAGGAAACCTCCCTGGACATGATTTCTGGATTCCCCCTTGACTACATGCACCTTGTGTGCCTTGGTGTCATGAGGCGGCTTCTACACCTTTGGCTTCGACTGGGCCCTCTAACTTGCAGGCTGTCAGGATTTCAAGCATCTGTGCTGTCAGAACGGTTAGTCAGTGCCCAGAAGAACGTGCCTGTAGAATTTGCACGCAAACCAAGAGCAGTCAGAGAAATAGATCGATGGAAGGCAACTGAGTTTAGGCAATTCTTACTGTACACAGGCCCTGTGATGCTAAAAGACCTGCTCACCACTGAAGCATACAAAAACTTCCTGCTGCTTTTTGTGGGAATCTTCATCCTTTGCAATGACAGCCTAATTGGTGATCACATTGACTATGCCAATGATATTCTCCGACTGTTTGTGACACACTTTGGACAGCTATACGGTCCAAAATTTCTGTCTTATAACGTCCACTGTCTTGTCCATCTGGCAGAAGATGCAAAACACCATGGTGTCCTTGACAATTTCAGTGCGTTCATTTACGAGAATCACCTTAACAAGCTGAAGAAACTTCTACGAAAACCTTCATGTCCGTTAAGTCAAGTCGTGAGAAGGTTCTCAGAACTGCACACCTGTAACAAAAAAAGAGACAAAAACAAGGCACCAGTGCTCAGAAAACCGCATGCTGCTGGCCCTCTACCGGAGTCATTTGTTGGAGCTTCACAGTTCAAAGAACTACAAACAGAGTCATATACTCTGAAATTGGACCAGGCAAACCGTTTTGTCTACATTAATGGAAAGGTTTCAAAGCTAGAAAACATATTTTCAGAAAATGATGACATTTACGTGACCTACACTACCTTCAGCAAACATGAACTCTTTTTTGACTATCCCCTTCCATCCTCCGCACTTGGCATCTACCAAGTTGATGTCATCTCAGGACCAGTCCAGCTCTGCAAAATTGAGAACATTGAGGCAAAAGCTTTCCTAGTCCCTTGCGGCAGTTATTTTGTTTCAGTTCTACTTTTACACACAAAATAATTCCCTATACCAATTTTTTTTTTTACCTTTTTTATTTTAATATATACTGTATAGTGCAGTGTGTATAATCATCATGCAAGATGATATTTATTCAAGAGCATTTTGTAAATTCCAAACTTCACTCACAACTATAACCAATATATATTTTTATACGAAGGCAAGAAGTGAAAAACGCTTTATTTAAATGTGTACTATTATTTAGCAAGTTATTAAAATTGACAATTATTAAAAAGGATGCAATGCTAATCAAATGCTAAAAAATGCTACATAAAATGATAAGTCCGAAAACAATGGTTCAAAAATGTTTATATAGTCATTACTTTTTCATTACAATTTTGAATTTCTTTACACAAGTTCTTGCATTAGGTAACTCTTTATTTTGATGGTCCATTTAAGTATTAGTAGACTGTCTGCTCAGTATCTGTTGATACTGCTCCTTCAACAGACATTTAACTGGCTATAAGAAACTTTGCAAGTACATGTCAACTTACACTAACCCTAACCCCAACTTAACAGTCTGCTTATAATCTTCTGAAAATTAGTTGACATGTAGAGAACTTAAATTCAACTAACTGACTAATGAAATACAGTGTGACTTACATTGTACTTTTTTCACTTCCAGTCTTGACGGACAATTATATAACAATTATAAATGATTAATACAAAAATACTAGTGGTTAAGATTGATGTTTGGAATTGGTAAAATGTGCTTAAAAATACAATCTAAATATTAACTTGCATAATAATTTTGCACAAAATGTAGTTTGTGTATTTGCACAAAAACAACTCAAATTTAATTATTCAACGTTATGGGGGCCTAGGTTCTTGCAGTTTTAAAAAAACAAAAATGTACCTCTTGGTGGAGCTCCTTCATGAAGAAAGTACCGGATCTGTAGCAAAGTTTTAGTACTCAGAGGGTCACTCATGGTAGCCTCTATACAAAAAGATAGACAGGATATTGAAGAGTGTCCGGTTGATGGAGGCACCACAACCAGAAAAAGGTTGGACCAAGCATCAGGCCAGAATTCCACATGAGTTGGGTAAGCAGGATGAGACACATTGTAAATAAACATTACACAAAGATTAAAATCAGTAATTTGTGATGTTCCATAGATAGACTAATACTTTCATGAATTTAGTTACATACTTTGTTTCTTTCAGCATCTTTTGACAAGATTTACCAAAAATGGATACAATCTTGGTACACTTCCAATATCTCTGAATCTGAAATATCTGCAAAAAAAAAATCCCAAGTAAGTTGCCAAAGTACACGTTGCTTTTAAATGTAAATTCAAAAGCAAAAGAACAGCAACATTTAGTATTTTTAAGTAACAAAGATAAATATATTTAATCATAATCTTGAATTCAGCATTAGTTTTCACATCACAATCCCATTTTAAAATCAGGTATATTTAGTTTCAAATGTATCAAATGTACAATCATAACTTGAAGATTACATTCTAAGGAATAGCCACAAATAACTTTAATTTGCTAATTAGAAGCAACAACACCTAAGCTTTAAAAATCTGTGTAGTAAAAAGTAATATGTTTATGTGAGATATAACATCTATAAATCAGTTTTAACAGCATTTGTTCATGACCACCAACAGATTGCGGAAAAGCAACAGCAGGCCTGTTTTGAGACCTTCTCCACGTGTCAAGGTAACTGGCTCTTCATGAATACTACAAACTGTAATAGCTGTAATCTCACAGCATTCATAACAACTCAAAAGACCAGGACAGGCTGGTTCAAGTTTTTGATGGCTGAATAGGCATCACAGACCTACAGTTACTACACTGTTATAAGTAAAAACTGAACTGAACTTAAACACTAAAACTGAACTACCCTGATCCAGCTACTATGACCACTTATGTGAAGCTGCTTTGACACAATCTACATTGTAAAAGCGCTATACAAATAAAGCTGAATTGAATTTAATTAAATGTAATATTCTGATCATATTTTTTACATTTAACCTATTCCAATCTTAGCTAACAATAAATATAAATACATTCCTTTTCTTAAAGCATCTTATACAGGAATTTTTAATGATGCTGAAAAAAAAACTTTGAGATTCAGATTTTATTACAATACATGTTTACTAGATAGATTATACTTGTGTTTAGCTTAAATTGCAATTCAAAGGCTTAACTATGTTAATTAGGCAATTAGGGTAATTAGGTAAGTCATTGAATAACAGTGGTATGTTTTGTAGACAATTGAAAAAAAAAAAAGCTTACCGCTTATTGCTAATATGATTGACCTTAAACGTGTTTAAAAAAAAATCAAAGTAATATATATATATATATATATATATATATATATATATATATATATATATATATATATATATATATATATATATATATTTATATATTAGCCCAAAAAAAACTAATGACTTTTATCAGAAGAAAAAATATTATATGAAATACTGTGAAAAAATCCTTGTTCTGTTAAACATCATTTAGCAAATATTTAGCAATTATTTAGCATTTAGCAATTATTAGCCCCCCTTTGAATTTTTGTTCAATTGTAACAGATTCAGGAAATTTTCACAGTACGTCTGATGTTTTTTCTACTAGAAAAAAGTATTATTTGTTTTATTTCAGCTACAATAAAAGCAGTGATTAATTTTTTTAAAAACCACTATGAGGACAAAATTATTAGCCCCTTTAATCTATATTTTTCTGATAGTCTGCAGAACAAACCATCACTATACAATAACTTGCCTAATTACCCTAACCTGCCTAGTTAATCAAATTAACCTAGATAAGCCTTTAAATGTCACTTTAAGCTATATAGAAGTGTCTTGATATCCCGTCAAATATTATGGACTGTCATCATGGCAAAGATAAAATAACTCAGTAAACAGATATGAGTTATTAAAACTATTATGTTTAGAAATGTGTGGAAAAAAATCTCTCCATTAAATAGAAACTGGGGAGAAAAATAAACGGGGGCAAATAATTCAGGGGGGCTTATAATTCTGACTTCAACTGTATATACACATACAGGGCTTGACATTAACAAACAAACAGGGCTTTTGGTGATGAAAAGTTAATGTCAAGCCCTGTATTTATATGTATGTATATATACAGTTGAAGTCAGAATTATTAGCCCCTGAATTATTCGCCCCCCTGTTTATTTTTTTTCCCAATTACTATTTAACAGAGATATTTTTTCAACACATTTCTAAACATAATAATTTTAATAACTCATCTCTAATAACTGATTTATTTTATTTTTGCCATGATGACGGTAAATAATATTTGACTAGATATATTTCAAGACACTTCTATACAGCTTAAAGTGACATTTAAAGGCTTAACTAGGTTAATTAGGTTAACTAGGCAGGTTGGGGTAATTAGTCAAGTTATTGTATAACAATGGTTTGTTCTGTAGAAATTCAAGAAAAAAATTAGCTTAAAGGGCTATTAATTTTGTCCTTAAAATGGTGTTTAAAAAATAACTGCTTTTATTGTAGCCAAAATAAAACAAATTATACTTTCTCCAAAAGAAAAAAGAAAAAAAAATTCAGGGGGGGGGGGCTAATAATTCTGACTTCAACTGTATATGTATATACACACACGTGTATGTATGTATGTATGTATGTATGTGTATATATATATATATATATATATATATATATATATATATATATATATATATATATATATATACATACATACATACATACATACATACATATATATATATATATATATATATACATACATACATACATACATACATACATACATACATATACATACATATATATATATAAAGAGTTCAGATGCAAAAATCTCGTGTCGTCTGAATTTTTGTTCTAAAATTTACATTTTTCTCAGGACCCTATGTTTGTGTTAATTTATTTCACTTTAAAGTCTATGAAAATAACATATTATTTGCCCTAAAAGTGGATTTACTGAACATACACACAGAAGCTAGAGAAAAATGTCCACTTTAGGTGAAAATATAGAAATATATATAGGGTCCCAAAATCCAGGTGTGAAAAACTTGTTGCATCTTTCCCAAAAAGACTCATGACTGTATTACATCAAAAGAGTGCTTCTACTAAATACTGAGCAAATGGTCTGAATACTTAGGACCATGTGATATTTCAGTTTTTAATTTTTAATAAATCTGCAAAAATATAAAAAATTAAAATCTGTTTTGCTGTCAATATGAGGGGCTGTATGTACATTGATTACAAATATATATTTATATTATATTTAAATTATATAAATATATTTTTATGGTCCCAAAAAAAAGAAACAGATTTAACCCACAATTAAAAACAAAAAATATATATTATATGGCTAGGAGAAAATGCAACACTAGTTCTTTTTTTAATTGAGGTGAGAAACGCTCATAGGAAGATTGAAGTCACAAAAAATGGCTGAGAAGAAAATATTATTCTGAAATAAGATTGCAATAATTAAGGTGAATAGTTAGGTTTAAATCATTATGAAACCCAGCTCGCCAGTGCCAACACAAATACAATGTGTCAGCTTCTGTGTCAAAACGACAAAATTTGACTTAATGTATCAATTGTACCCACGTAAAAATAATCATAAGCAGGAGTGTTGCAAAATACACTGAGACATTTATAGGCATAGGTTAGGAGCTAAAAGGACATGCACCATGCCATTTGTATCGGTTTAAAGAAGTTTTTAGTGTTTATTTTAAGTTAAGTTTCCATCCATCTTGAAAAATTCCTCTGATTGATCATTAGAACAGTTAGGTTTAAAAGCATCAGGAACCCTAGAGTCACCAGCAAGTACAATGTGTCAGCTTGTGTCAAAGAATGATACGATGAATGACACAATTGGATACAATGTGTCTAAGTGTACCCACTGAAAAATAACCACAAGCTGAAATAGACCGAGACCATTGTAGGTATAGGTTGAGAACTGATCTAGAAGGACCAGCACCACTTCCTCTTGTAACTCTTAAAATATATTATGTTCCAGAATCTGGCAGTAAGTTATCAGAGTTCATTTAAGTCCATCTCTCATATTCTTACATTTTAATCTATTTATTGTTAGTACCAGCAAAAACCATGACTCCCTGTCAATAGAACAAATATATGACCAGATATTGACTTGCATAATAATTATGCACAAACTGTATGTTCCATGATGTGCTTGTTCTGTCCAAAATTGCATGCCTCTTTAAAGACTGAATCTTCATTGAACCAGGTATTTGAAATTGAAAATGTCGTCTAACTTTTCATAATTCCAAAGAAAATAATTGCAGTTCTATCTCCAGAAGTACCTGTGAGGTTCTGCCAGGAAGTGGAGCCACAGGACACTTGGGATAAACCTCAACCTGAAAAATCAAGGTAAAAAAATGAAATGTATAATAATAAATCAATCAGTATTTTAAATAAGAAATCAGAAGGACAATTGGTGCACATACTCACACTACTTCAACATTTTCTGTACAACCCAACAGAGGACACGTTTTCTATGCTCAGGCATTTCAAACGAGACAGAGCACCACATAAGTTGTTTGTCTCACTTCAGGTAAATACTTCAGCATTTCATTTGGCTGTATTGTAAAAGAAATGTCCAGACTGTAAAACTAAAGCTGTATGTTAGACCAGACTGTAAAACTAAAGCTAAATAACAAACAAGAGAACACAATTTAGTTATAACAGTAGAAAAAGTACCATCTTAATGTCAAGAAAGATCATGCCCATATTGGAATCTGTTGCATTTAGATATATGCAAATTAAATATATGTCATACAAGTTCCTATTTGGATTTTACAAAAAAAAAAAAAAAAAATATATATATATATATATATATATATATATATATATATATATATATATATATATATATATATATATATATATGCAATATACAATTTGAAATATTGCAAATATGGCTGGGCTGCTTCTTATATTTAGTTTCAACTATTGAAATTACAAATAGTTACAGATATGTTTACACACACACACGTGTGTATACACATATATATATATAAAAATTGCTCAGCATATACGAGTAAACCCCTTTTGAATATGAATAATGTTATCTATTTTTCAGTGAATAGAGTATATATTTTGGTTAAATAAACAAATGTTTATAGAGTTAAAGAGTTTTATTAAACAATTATATCCATTAAAGTAAGAGTTTGGTCACCTAAATACTTATATATGCTTGATTAAAACATTACAATTAACAAAAATAAAAAAATT